CAACCTGATTTGTTTTCAATTACGAAGCAGTACGTACTAAAATTTCAACGAAACATAATTAATTGGGGAAAATCAATTATTAACTTTACTCATATCACTCAAATACAAATAAAAATTACATCAAAACAAATGAGCCAGCTCTCCTTGATCTGTACCAAAATGAAAAGGCGTACGAATGCCGGGTAAGTAGATAAGTTGGCCAGAGCATACAGTTTTCATCTACTGGCTATTGAGTCTGATCGCATTCGGCCAACAACTTTAACCGAGCCCGTAAATCCCACAAGTTTAGTGGGGGGATGGAAGAGGCAAATTCACGAAATCCTGTTTATCGTAGTGTCTATACGACGTACTACAAGAGCCACGGAGGAGAAGAAATGAATGCGGGGGGGGGGGGAGGAGTTAAATGTAAAGTTCCTTCGAGGTGCAGTTGTTAAGATTTCTCCTCAAAGTTCATTAGGCATGAAAAGGTGCTCGTATTGATGGCTTCCACCCACAAGTTCAACCTTCTCCCCAATATTACATGTACAATACTCACCCCTAAAAGTGTACGTCTCTTCATTGTATCCTGGAATTCCACTGTATAAACTCGAGTGATTCACAGTGCAAAGCTATTGAATAATCGATTAATGGACAAGTGGCTCTTTGTCGATGGTTCGAGCACTTGTCGATTGTTGATTGTTGGGGTGACAGAAAGCAGTACGTATTGTCGTGTGATATAACGTCCATTATCCTGGTACCTCGTGCAAGTGCCAAGAGCTTTGATTCCTATATTAAAATCTAGGGTGATAAATGAAATAAATAAAGTTATTTTTGTGATGGGTGACATTTTGAGAAACTGCCAAGAACAATAGAAAAGAAAACAAATAAATTCATACTGCATCACTTTTCTTTTATTCCGCGTTGACAGAGTCGGTGAAATAAAAATCTTCAGTTTATTGGCCCTTATCTCATCCCCGCACCCCTCGCTCTTCTTCCGACAGCCATGGCAATTTTTCCCATCGCGGCAGAATGAAAAGGAAAAAAAAAGAAAATAAATAAAAGAGGTACCGCTGAAAACTGTGAAGCAAAGATAAAGGCCGGAAACCTGCTCGTGGGACAAAAGCTCCTTCTATTCATACCTACCATTCTTTTCTCACGTACATTCGCTGTGCTGGTCTTGGCAACGCGTTTTATTTCCTTTTCATAGACAATGTCATACGTATACCTTCGTTGTTACAGATAAGGATGGAAGCTGGGATCTCATTATACAACACTGTTCTCTTGGCTTTTACTTTAACCACATTACAAGTTTTCTGAGTATTTTTTCGTTTCAAAGTACATGATGCAAGAGGAGAGTACAATAATTTTTAGGGATACAAATTTTGCAAACTTTATAGCGTCTACACTGCCATGCTGGGACATTGCCATTTATTATCTGGTGGTTAGTAAGAAACGCGAGAAGTATAATATAAATGTGGAGCACATTTTAAATTTTTAAATTGAAAAAAAAAAGTTAGAGATTTTGGTTGCTTCCTACGTAGAAACGTGTTGAAATTAGTAAAAAAATTTTGTTGACTAGATTTTGTTGATTTAGCATACACCACCGATACTTTGTGAAAAAAAACCACCGAGTTGCTCAGTATTTTTGTGCAAATAAAGTAACATAAAATTGGACAAAACTTTCATTTGAGGAAAACTCTCGCTAACTTAACGAAAAAATTAACGTATCGTAAGATGAAAGGTAATAAAAGTGGAGAAATAAACAAACGAGAGGGAAAAAGAACAGGAAAAAAGAGAAGAAAAAATGAGTTACAAAGTCTCTGTTTATGGATACCGCAATGGTAAGGACCCGCTGAGAAAACCGCTCTTTGATTGTTTGTTCGGTCACTTGTTTACGCTCCATTGAATTTTTCTTTATTTGCGTTGGTAAAGGCAGAAAGAGTAGAATACATATAAAAAGTATAAGAACTTTCTGCTTTTTGGGCTTGTCTCTGGCTGTGTTGATACAACAACAGGTTGTGATGAAACTTTCACTTGATCTTGTTTACTGTTTTCCCTCTATAGGGTCTTAAATCTTTTGCTTTATCCTCTACGGTCATGCATATGTAAGGGTCACGAAAATTGAGTTGGCAAGAGACAGAGAAGAAGATAACGCTTTCGGGATGGTAATAAGAAGATATTCTATAATCAGGAATTTCGTTAAAAATTAAAAGCATTAGATAATAATAAATTTTCTTAAAATAATTAAATATAAAAGACAGAGGGTTAAACAAATAAGTATGAAAAAGAAAACTGTAGATATGATCACGTATACAATTGATGCCAAGGGTGGATACATTTTTTTAATCAGTCAGTAGTACAAGTCCGATTTGGTCAGGCAACACCATAGAATCACCGTGGAAATACAATCAGTAGTATGAGTTTATGATCAGGCAGGACAAGCAAGGGATTATAGTATTTTTTTTTTTTTTTTTAATATTATAGTTACGTTCGGGTACACTAAAGTATCCCTCGTCACGAAGAGCATTGCGCAGTGAAGAGGAACATGTGGAAATTCACAGAGGCACAACTTGCTCGAAAAAGTCGCTCTTCTGGCCAGGAATCGAACCGCAGTCTTCCCACGTGCCGACCCACAACTTAGCCGGGTGAGCCACTGCGCGCTCAAGGGAATTATAGTAAGCAAATCGGTAGTAGAAATCGAATTCTGTCAGGCAGCATGCAAGTATTCAGTAGAGTAATCCCAATGTGGTCGGACAGATTTTAGATACTAAAGGGCAAAATATGTTTATATGACGACACTACTTGTAATATATGACGTTTGTCCACGAGCTTTTATAGCAACACAATTGTTTCTTAACTACTGCTGCTTCTATTTTCTATGAGTACAACTACATTATTGTTCATCATCTCGTGCAATTTAATGAGAATAAAATCAGGGCCAATTTACCGTTTGTATCGTTTTAATCCCAACACACCGATTGATATTAATATTTGGCCAGCTTGAATTCCGCAAAAAGAAAGTACAAGCGATTGTTTCATAACGTGTGTACCACCGTATAGCAGAGTGTGACCTCTCAGGCTCCAAAGAACCACCACTGCTCTGTACATGCTGATACTTTGCATGCAATCACTGCGTGGTTTCTTCCCCGGTCCACTTATCGAGTTCGTAGGTGTACACACATACACACACGTGTGCACACAACAGAAGCAGATCAAAGCCTGTGTAGATGTATTTTCAAGCAGTACCGAAACGAAAATGTCCGCACGGCATGCCGGTTAATAAATAGTTGGCTGACCTCGTGGACAAGAGTCAAGTAAAATTCCTTTCGTACACGACTATATATTATATATTCGGGAAGTGCACGCTAGACGACTCGATCCTTTGTAGTGCTGTGAATTCCTCTCTGAACGAGAGACTTGCTCCTATCGGTTTATTGCAGCTACGACACGATAACAGACACTGGTGTCTCTCTTGCTGTGATAGTTAAGTCTGTTGCGGTTCATGCATTGGAGAACGTCTACTTAAAAGTTGTACTAGTGGTAGTTAGTAGAGAATATAGTCGAGATATGGTGGATTTTTTTTCAGTTGGATAGGAAGTGACGATGCGATGCTCTCGGAGCAATAAAGTGGTAAAAAAGTGTTGTGTGAATAAATCGTGACAGAGGGAGAACTGGGAGTCATTGCCGCGAGAGGTGTTGAAAAAAAATAGTTATTGTGGCCTCAGGGGCGTTTCTGGGATAAAGCGCGTCGTTAAAATATTATTTTACGTGGTTCGTTTTTCAGGGAGCATTAAAATAAAAGCTAAGGTGTGATAAGGTCAAAGTCGAAAAATAATACTCCCTCACCGGGCTCTTTGTCCACGTTTCAAAAAATCCGGTTCTATGGTGCACTGCGCGTTTCTGCGCTACGTTGTTTGCATAAAAAATAATGGTGATGAAGAAAAAAATGTATATAAACACATATTACAAGAGGATTTTTTGTTTTAAACGGTTAAATAATAGTATAACAGTGTATAGCTGGGAAACAAAGAGAGGGAGGTCTGAGCAACAGACAGTTTTGGTTGGAAAGGGGACAGCGAATTTCGGTCGCATAGGCTGCGCGTCTAACGAGATAATGTCTCTTCCTGAATGGGAGAGGACGACAAAAATGTTGGCTATAGACTTCCCTTCTTTTCCTTCCAGCTGTCTCGGCTGCTTTTTTTTCATCGCTTTGAGCTCGTTCGCTGTGTCGTATCGTTTACGCGTCTTTTCGTTGTCTTCTTTGTTTCACCTTTGCTCATTTATTAGCGTCACACTGACGTAGGGGTTTAAAAAATATTTTTTTTTTTTATTCTACTTTTTCCTTTATTGAAAAATAAAGATGTGGGCTGGATTTCACAAAGTAAAACTAGTTTTTGACGAGTTCTAGTTTTCAAATTAATTTTTTCTGATAATTTAGCTTGTTTTTACGCTTATCACTCAATGGTCAATAATTTTTTTTTACAGTCCTTTGGAAACGTAAATAAGTCTGAATTAGATTACTGAAAATGTTGTAAATATGACAGAAATTAAACTTTTATCGTATTAAAACTTTTTTTTAATGAATTTTTTGTTTTTTTCACATATCTAATTACTATTACTACTGTGGACGACGAACCCAACTTTTCATGTTTTTTAAGTTAACTCTATCAAAGTATAAAAAAAAAATACCGTATAGTTTAGTCTTACAAAAGATATGTAGATACCGAACTGCTTCGTTTAAAAATATCGCCTAAACACCCATTGTGCAATTCGCATAGGTATAGGAGACTCCGTACTTATACACTCGCTCGCGGAGAAGTTGATTTCCGTTGAGTTGAAATTCCACGCCCCTTTTGGCTTCTTTGAAATCGCGGTCGGGAGGTGGTGCATTGAAATTCTCTCCTCTCCCCCTTTCACCTCCCCTAAACCGAACCCACATCTGCTCGCATGTATGATATACATTGACACGGTACAGCTTACAATTAACTCCTCGTTGGGAAACGATTGTTTGTATTTTCCAGAGCTTTGCGAGGAGTGGGCGCTTGCGAGCAGTTGCGAGTCGGTGGGCCCGAGCACGTCGTCGAGCGCCGAAGTGGTGAGCAGCAGTGCACCAACGAGTGCGAGTACTAGCGCGAGTAGCAGCCGCACAGGACCCGATGAGCCCGACCTCCTGCCCGAGACGAGCTTCGAGCTCAAGTACTTTGGCTGCACCCCCGTCGAGTCGCCCTCCAGCGAGAAGGAGACGGCCCACGCCATCAAGACCATCGTGTGCACGGTATGGGCTGCACTTTATTTTTATGAGTAAGCAGAGGTTTGAGCAAAGTAATGTCTTATTTTAAATTTTCCAATGCGAGTCGAATATTGTGCATATGCTCAAAAAAATGAAACAGAGATGCATTTATTACTACATTCACGATGGACATCGATCCCTCTATTCATCAGGCACCCTCGCTTTTTCCCCTCACGGGTACTCATAACAAACGAATTACGAATGCAAAGCATCTTACGTGGATCCATGAGTAGGTACACACGCAGACCTCGTAGATTCCTCGCGAGTAAACGCTCGCATGTAATGCGCCGTAATACCCATAGATATACCATTTTGCCCTGTGCCCGCATACACATATATGTATATATATATATAGTTACGAGTGCGGCAAAATTTACATACGCGCAGCTGTGCAATCATTTCTGCGAACGAGCACGAGTGCGAGCGCGAAAAGCAGATACTTGGCAGGACTCCGAGGCCCAAGCGTTAATTAAATTCACGTTTTCCCTTGTAGCTGCAGTGGTGGGTGGTAATACCCACTGTAGAAGTATCAAAGACTCAAAAGCACTTTTCGTGCAAAGCTGAAATGTTAATCGTAGAATTGTAGGTGCATTTCGAGAAATCAAGGGAATAATGATGTTGTAGTTGTCATTGGAACTATCATAAATCGAGTCGAGGCACTGGAACACCATGCAACAGGGGTACGCTAATTTATACAGGTCCTACTCAGAGCTGATGAGCGAGATTGGAACCGACTGACCTAATCACGAGTCGTTGCATAAATGTATGGATTGGTAGTAAGACTACACCTCCCAAGTCGAATCAAAGGCTTTGTGTGCATACATAACTGCGTAAAGGCAGGTATAGCGTCTTCGTGTCTGTGAGCAGAATATATTTAATTGCAGTACCATGGCTTCCAGAACTAGTAAGGTAAATGACCCGATAGAGGACCATGTACGGAAAATTAAGTGGGAAAACGATAATTTTTAAACGAAATTGATTAGAAGTGGACTTGTATTAAATAATATTAAATCGTAACCTAGCACTGGGGTCCGATCCTCTAACTGTGTGTTGACTTCTGACTTGTGACACACTCGATACAGTTGATTTTGACTATTAAAATCCACATCCAAAACACTTGTCTCCACGAAACTTGTGCCAATTATGTTTAATTATTATTGTTACAGGGGGTTTAACATTGTTTTCTTTTCGACAAAACACACTCTCCATCTCGTAAATACATCCTTTTATTCTTTAAGGTATAAAAAAGTCGTGGTAAAAGTAAGGAAAACAAGAATTGGTCAGCGTCGATGTTTTATTCATTGAATCTCGTCCTACGTTCTCTCGCAGCCTCCCCACTTTCGGGAGAAGTATCGAAGACTTGCACCGCGTGAGTCGATATGTGCTGTTACTCTAACGAAGCCAATGCGCTTTTCTAGTTGATCCTATACGAAGTACTTCTTTTCGGTCCAGCGCATCGGAGAAAAGAACAGAAAATGAGGTGGAAAAAGTCGAGGAAGCACTGCTGCTCTGGCCATCTCTTCTTTTTTTTTTTCTTCTCTTTTCTGGGTGTGGCGCACATACCTTAAAAAAGGCTTGGGTCTAAATGTCTTCCTTCGTCTGCGGTTTCAGGCAAAGGCAAGTGGAAAAAAGCTCCAGAGAGTCTCGTTGGCCGTGAGTTTGCGAGGCATCCGAATGACGGACCTGACCACCGGAGAGGAGCAGCTCCGCATCTCCATATACAGGTACGCTTCTGCACGACAACCTCAATACTCCCCCCCTTAACTTTTTTTCAAAGTAAAAAAAAAAAACGTAATATTTTTAAAAAACGGTGCGCAGCATCTCGTACTGCTCGGCCGACGGGGCCCACGGCAACGTGTTTGGCTTCATAGCGGCGAACCCGGAGGAGATCCTCGAGTGCCACGCCTACCTCTGCCCGAAGCGCAAAGTCGCCCAGACGGTCACTCTGGCCGTGGCCCAGTCGTTCAACGCCGCCTACGAGCTTTGGCAACTGGCGGAGCTGGACACGGGCGCCTGCCACCCCGAGCCCCAAGGCCCACAATTGTCGAATGGGAATGGCCTCGCCGATGAGAATGGACATGACGAACAAGATGAGGGTCACAAAAAAGGTACAGGTGCTTGACCAAATTTGATGGAATAGTACATTTCGGGAATTAATGATTTGGAATTAAATTACATCTGTTTTACCTGATTTTGAGAAATCTCGTAAGAGTAAATGTTTCAAAAACGAGTTTCTTAACACCTATGGCTTTGAATTATTTATCGAGTACTTGGCAGTACATAGCTGGCTGTGCATTATAATTTTTAGTACTTTTTGTTTTTTTGCGTATAATTTCTCACAGTATAAATTCTTACAATAATTGCGAAAAAAACAAGGATTTTGAAAGTAAAAAATTGTAAGAAATTTGTTCGTGTCGTATACGGTGCACACGTTCGTATAAACCCAAGGCACCCAGAAAATGCGCATAAGTGGTATATATCTTGGTGCAACAGCTTTCCATCTGTGGTCATCAGTATAGCCAGCATAGAACTAGAAGTAAGAAGGGCACGATGTACCTGAGAGATGCATTATTCAACGAATAACAGATGGCCATGGGTTGCAGTGAAGCAAACCAAACATATACGTTGAAATCTCTGAAAAGTCACAAGGTATAGGAAAAAAATATTTTTGCAAGGCACGCAACCTGCAGTTTCGAAATTTGATGTCCTTTGAGTAATAATACTTTCTTTTCCTTCCAATGTTGCTTTTCTTGATGATTTAATATTCGGAGATTTCGACGTATACACTTGTTTTGTCCTGGAGTTATTTACGCGCACAAGTAAGATGTAAATATCTTTCTTTTATAGGATCTGTTTTGGACGAGAAAAGCCCAGAAGAGCGACGCAAGTGTAAAGGCAGCCTTCGTGGGAGGAATAAAAGCTCGAGCCACAAGACAAACGACGAGTCCAAAGTTGTCGCCAAAGTCGAGTCTTCTTGGGTGATTATTTATACATCCCTTATGCTAATTCCACTGTTTCGCTACTATATTTTTTCCTCTTGAACTTTATGTTACTTTGTACGCATGTGAAAAAAATGGTGACGACTTTCATTGATGTAGACACTGTTGGTCTTGTACATTGAGGATGGCTTGCCAATTTATTTTCCATAAAAATCATTTTGCCTAAACGGATAGCCGAGTACATAAAATTATATTCCCAATTATTTTGGTCATCTCTTAACTTAACGTGCACTAGTCTCTTTTTTATTTTTACTCAATCTAATAGATAATCAAGCGTATAATACTGATACTGCAATGTACAATTTTTCGGTTGCGACAAAGTACTTACTAATTTCTGGAGAAATTGTTAGAAGTGCAAGGCCAGTCCACAAAACAAGAAAATCTACCCTTCGAACTTTGCACTTTTCCTTGGCACGTACGAATAATATATACAGCTGCGAAGACACGAAAGTTTTGCATGAAATTCCTCCTTCGTTCACCACAAGAATGATGACCTCAGAGAGTGTGAAACTCGATACGCTCGAGAGACGAAGTTTTTTCCACAAAAAAAGCCCGATAATTTACGGCGAAAGTTCGAAAGCCTTGATTCTCGGCTGTGGTTGAAACAATCGTCCAAAATTCGTGGGAAATTGTATTTTCAAAAGAGATAATATTTAATCCACTCGTGTTTTTTAGAAAATTGCTTTGGCCCCTTGGTTTTATCACAATAAATTTTTACGTCCACATACTCCTTTTATTGTTTAATAAAAATGTGTGCAATGCAAAACCCATTTGGAAAAGTTCGAAAATCCATTTATCTTTTCTTTTCCAAATGAAAAAAGCAATGACCTGTTGGTGCCACGCCTCAATTAACTCTATCGTCCCACAGAAAGGAAAACAAAGAGCTCCGCTGGTGTCTATTGTTTCCTTTACTCGCGAGAGCCCCGAGAGTTATATCCCCCGCGTCCAGCTCCTGAATAATTCAGCCTCTACCACTTAGTTCTCCTTTTTCCTTCGCACCACATTTTATGATTCATTACTCAGCCCATCATAAATATTTAATGAAACGCGTATATACGTTTGCATCTCTTTGAGCTTATCTCTGCAGTCCATCAAATGCATCTAACTCTTCCTTACAAGAAAACGCTGTAGTTTTGAAATAAAAAAATTTTGTGCCGTTGATTGCAGGTATCCTTCGAGGACGAGACGTCCGGGGCGAGAAACGGCATGCCCATGAAGCCCCTAAACAATAAGTCACCGACCCCGAGCCCCTCATTGGCCACCAGCACCACCAGCATCAATGACTCGACATCAACAGCAGCGGAACAGACGCAACTGATCGCGAGCACCTGGACCGAGTCCGAGACGTCCCGGAAACTCGACCTCGTCTGCTCGTCGTAGCGCTTCCGGGACGTGCCGCTCATCACGGGCCTGTGGCAGCAGTTGTCCTCCAACTCGCCCTCCTCTGCTGGCAAGGACCAACACCGACAACTGCCACCTGCGGCAGAGCAGCGGATTTCGTCCGCACCTTGAACCAATGGAAACAGGTAAAAAAATTTCAGCATATCTTCAGCTTATATTAGTTGTGATTATCCTTTGAGTAAAGTAAAATATGATAGGGAAGGTATAACGTAATTACTGGTAATTATTGACAAATTGTTTTGAAATTTTTTGAATTCACTTATTAAACTTTTGAAGCTTTGCGTTATTTTGTATCATACAACACATAATGTTTTTTTCTGTCATGTGAGGATATTATACATTGCATTGCCACACGACATATTATTGTGCCCTCATCGTGATTGCACTCGTGCTACTTACGTAAGAGAAGAGCAAAAAATCTTCAAGCCATTGTCACCCTTACAGCCCTGCATTTGTATCACAACACTCAAGAGACAATATCGCGTAAAAATAAAAAAGGAAACGTAACCCACGAGTTTTATTGCACCAGAGAAGGTTGTGAAAAAAAAATCCGAAAATGACTAGAAAAGTTATTTGAAACAGCTGTTAGATGAGTTTCGTGTGCGATTATCTTGATTAAAATACGTTACAGCACCGAAAAATCAAAGCAACAACTCATGCTGGAGAATCTATTTTTTCATGTGTAAGCTACCGCTCGATGAAAATTTCCATAGGCATGGTGTAAGACAAATCTCATTTGCACCTTTTTTTTTTGTTGAAACTTTCAGGGAGGATGCGAACTTTTTTCTCTTTCCCTCACTTGTTTCGGCATATAGTACCTCCCCCCCTTCTTTATCGTAAGTTAAGCCGTGCTTTTTCTTTCTTCCTCTGAACTGGAAATTTTTTTTTTTTTTTTTTTCAAAGAAACCGGTAAGTGATTCTTCCTTTCTACGTTTTAAATGTACAAATATATAAAGATGCCTCGAAACAATTTTAAGAGTAGGAAAAAAAGTATTTTCATTTGGGGAAAAGTCGCCATTTAAAATTTTTTGTCCTTAAATTTTTCTAAATATTGTAACAACGTAGCCATCATCTTTTAATGAACAAACTCATTCGTAACGTAGCTTATTTGTAAAGTGCAAGTAAAAAGTAGATAAAAATTAGAGCAAACGCAATTTATAGAACATGAAAATCATCGCAAGACAGATATTGATAGATCCTCTGCTTTTTTCATCCAATTGTTTTATAGATCATCGTTTCGTTTATGTTTCTAAGCTCTCACAAGCTAAGGCACTTTGTATTAATATCAGTATACATACTTGCCTCGTGTGCAGTGAAGGAGTGTGAGGCGAGGTTCAATATCTAATAATTTAACCAATTGTACAAGAGTCAGTCGTATGAAATTTTATCTTAATCATTATTATCTCTATTAATGTATGTACAGAAGAGTTGACGTTATGCAAGAAAACCGACGTTTTAGAACCAAAAAGCTAAAAAAATTTTTTACCGAACACCCTTTTTTTGTATAGAAAGACAGATATCGTTAATTTGAATTTTTTTTTATCAAATTAATCAAAAATGACTTGTAGAAATTTATCTTGTTAACTTAAAAATTGTACACGACAAATGCAATTACAGGTGGTTATCATACTTGTTATCGAGACAACACTTGTGGCGTTGATGGACACAATGGATCCATAATCTCTCGTGTCAACGTTTATTAAATGCATTATCGGTTGGCACAGTTTTGAGGTTTACATAATACACTTTGCCCATCGTATGCTCATGAATTTTAAAATATCGAAAACGATGATGCCGCTAAAGTTTGAGGTATTTTAAACTGTAGAATAATAATAATCGAACTTTGTTTTCAACCTCCAAAAGTATATTCATGAGAACCAAGAATGAGATAGTGGATTAAAAAGGAATTGCAGTCAACAGGGCGATGCCGAGAGAAATGAATGAAATTGAAAAAATTCAAACGAGTTCGACATTGCTGAGGGAAAGTTTCAACTCATAATTTGATACGCCGAAAATTGTGCCTTTAATAGCGCTTCCAGTAATATCGAGTCAAAAGCGAGGTGCTATTATTAAAAAGAGATTAAGCCGTTCTCTGATGAGTGGATGAATAATATTAAGTAATAAAAGGGTTCTGAAATGAAATAAATATATTTTTAAACATCCGATCTATGTACGAATTCAGACTTGGTCACAATTATTTTATGGTTGTTTTTATTAAACCAATATTGTTTTTCTCGAATAAAGTACATCGTTTGTGCCGAAAAACCTTTTTATTTGCATCACTATTGGCAATACAATACTGAGAAAAGTTTTTTTTCTCGCAGATAAATGCAATACATTTTATGCACTACAAGTCATTGTAGAGTATTAGGTGTTGATGATTAAAAACTTTTTCAAATACTTTGACTTTTTATTTTTATTAAAATCTTCCAAACTCTAATGCGTTGTTTTTTTACAGAAATAATTGTACGTCCTAAGTAATACTAAAAAAAAAGACTCGTTTTCAACACATAATTTGATGGATTGCAATTTCATCGAAAAATTGAAAAATCATCCGTGGCCAAGTCTGACTACGGTATACATACACGCGATGTGCGAAAAGTCTCAAACAGACACATGTTGGGAAAAAAAAAAAAATAAGCTGAAAAACCGCAAAACATCGAAAGCTGCGCAACTATCAAACGTCCAACACCCCTCACGGTACATGGTATCGCACACAACAGGGAGGAATTCATTCGACATTCACCGGAGGCACCTCTCACGTCCCTCTTACCGACAATAAATTGATAGCTTAGGCCCTGGGCATCCCAGAACTACCCACCCGTACGCACAACATTTCCACCCCGCGGTCGACTGAAGTGTGGCATTCTTGCCAGGGGCGAACGCCTCTGGAATACAACAAAGTGTCAGCTTCACCGTACATTATACAAACCAGGAGGAGGAGGTGTGGCTGCGAAATTTACAACCCAACGAAGCGGCCCGGGGAGGAAAAGGAGATCGAATGCTCCCGCGGGTGGGCGAATAAACGACCGGAAAATTTTCCTCTCTTTTTCCTCCCGTGTGTGTGTAGCTACTGTGTATACTCGGGACAAATGTATGTGGTGAAAGATCGAGGGGCTACCGATGCAAGTGCGTCTCATAATTTTCCGGAAGATTGAAGATCACGGGTTGCCGAGGGGGAGAAAAAAATATTCGCACCCAGATTGAAGGGGTTATACTTGCTTGCAAAATGTGCTTGAATTTCGTTTCGTTTTTTCTCCATGTTTTTTTTTTTGTAAAAATA